AATTATGAGAAGTTGAGGCATCGTCTGAATGACTCATGACGACTTATTAGCAGGGTGAACGCAAAAACGGACGATGTTTTATGGTTTTATGGATGATATCAAGAAAGATAGAGAAAATCGTCTTATAACTGAATGGATGAAAATTAGAAATCCAGTGTATTAACGCTTTCTGATTTTTTACAAGATATTTTATAACGGTAATAAAGAGGCATCAGAAAAGTATTAAACAATCCAAAAAGATAGCCAAAGGCGTATCATGTGCACATAATGAGCTTATTCATGTTCACTGCCTTTTTCTGTACTTCCTCGCAGATCCGCGCCTTTTTTCTCACTGTTGGTCGTTACTTTGTCGAGCGCGGCATCATTCAGCAGATACCATGCCCCATGAGCACCAATTACAGGATCTCTACAATGAACATAATGGTTTTTATGGCTCAGTTCGATTAATTCTTCGACTGGAGTATGGTATTTGAATCTTTGATGAAAGGTATTTTACATTGACTCAAGTTACTGTAATGAAACCGCGGCATCGAATATAGTTCAGTTCTCACCTTTGTAGATCATCAAGCCATGCTTGTATCTGCGGCCACCTACTTCATAGATTAGTTCCTTGCTTACCATAAAGCCACACATCCCATCATGATCGTCAGCCTTTCAAACGTGGACTTGTCGCTTTCGAGTTTGCTTCATTGGCATCATCGGTTATTAAATCACAGATTACTGTCTAAAAAGTTACGTGACAAATACGCAGTTGCATCTGCGGTTAGTCAAAAAACCAATTTAGTCAATATTTATGATCATGCTTACTCCCAGTGTTTATTTGCATCATCAAAGTGTCGGATTCCACAGTACCGATATTAGCATTTGCTAAAATGAGCATGTGGGTATTCATAAAATCCTATGAATGTCTTTAGCCTGATAAAAATTTGCGACTTTTGTGTAACGAATGAATTCCATCCGGATTTGTGCCCTTTCTCCGACGTTTGAAACACGGTAGCGAACGGTTTATAAGTCGGATTCATCGAAGCATCTACATGTCGAAATTTACCTACTGTTCGGCAGCAACAAGGCGGGGCCGAATTTCGATAACATCAGTTTTCTTTTGCCACAAAAAATTTTATTGACAGTATACTGCGACTATTATGCTAGGGCAGGAGAAATCCTGCCGCATGATTACTTGTGTATTTTTCTTAACGATAATTTAAGTGCAACTGTCACTTTACCCCTAGCAATAAACGATTTCGAATGCTTATAACATTATAATGGTCGTCCTAGAGCAATATTGCTCATTAATAAACGATAGACGTACTCAGGCCTCGGACAGCTCGCAATGAATAGATGGACATCTTTTGGTTCCAGGAACAATAAACTTGCCAAAATTCGCTGGTTGATCGGCATCTCATGTGGTTGCCAAAACATGGATGACCAAAAACGGTGGTCATCACACCAATCGATAGATGAAATTGAAGTGTGATTCCTTCTAGATAAAGGATCCTTTTTTTGTTAACATGAATTTCGCTTTCACTCAAAAAGAATGCGTTAAATGACATGTGCATTATTTAATGTTTCTATGATCATTGATGAGATTTAGCAAAGTCCAACGATCTAGTACTTTTCCACGACATTTCTCAGTGATCTCATTTGCACAAAGATTTGCCTATGTTATTGAATGCATTCACTTCGGCTGTTAAGTTTCCCTGCTTCTAACCTAGATTGAATAGTTTTTCGAAGTTCTATCGCTAGATAATGTCACCCCCCCTTTAAACGGTAGCCATTCCGATGATGACTGGTACCACGACTGCCATAATGGATTGTTGTTTCGCATCAGACAATATTCTTCCACCTTCGAGATGCACCTGCTGCCAAATCGTTCGTATGTTCAACTTTCGGAGCTGCCTCAGAACCG